GTAAACTAACTAATAGTAATAATAATAATATATATATATATATATATATATATATATATATATATACTTGTCCTTTTGTACATTCACAAGCAAAATATATAAACAAGCGAAAATATATAAATCACAACTTCCATTATAAACCCCAACTTCCATAGCAAATGAAACTGTATCTCTAAGGGAAACTTTCACATATAGCCACTTAAAACTAACTAATTACTCTTCTTAGCTATAGTTTGATAATTACAATTTGTAGCTATATGTTACATGGAGGAGAGAGGCGAGTGAGACCGGGAAAGAGTGGAGAAAGGTAAATTGTATATTAGATTGATTATAAATTATATATTATACATATATATTTGTATATATAGCAAGAGAGATTGGGAGAGGGAGGAGAGAGGTCAGCGAGAGAAGGCAGAGATTGGGAGAGAGATGAATTGTATATTATACATATACATTTATACATAGGGCAAGCGAGATTGGGAGAGGGAGGAGAGGCGAGCGAGATTGGGAGGGAGGAGAGAGGGGAGAGAGTGGGACAGAAGTGAATTGTATATGTATATAGGTTAAAAATTGTATATTATACATATGCATTATACATATATAAACGTGACTAATTATACAAACTCGAAGTCAGCCCACGTAATTAATGTATACTGTTAGTCGCGAGAGGTAATTATAACAAACTATAACTGTAATAAGTATAGTAAGTTCTATTTCTCGATGGGGCGGGGAAGGGATATAACTCGGCGATAGAGTTACATAGTATAAGTTTGTTTTGTTGTATAATTTTCTATATCTCGGATAAGTATTTAAGGCCCAGCATTCCTGGGCCCTTTCTTGAAACAAACCCAAAGAAGAAAATAAGCCCATTTTGATTGGGTTTACTAGGCCCAGCAATCACATTGGCCATAGCCCTATAATTAGGATGGTTTTGATAAAGAGAAAATTTCATAAATAATCAGTATTTGCAAAGCAATTTATCTTAAAAAATACAATTTTAAAAAGTATGAAAGTAAAAGAAAAATAATCACACTTCAAATATTTTGTATTTGAAATTTCAACACAATATATTTGAATTTAATTTTTTATAAGTAGATCTACAACAAAGTGAGCACCCAATACAATGCTCCCTTTGGGCCATTTTACCCCTCATTCATACTAACAACTAAAAGTAATAGAATAGTGGGTTTTATAATTTTTTAAAAAATAAATAAAGAATTATTTGTTATTCTAATCATGATTAGACTTAAATTTAGGTAATTTTTTTTTTTTTAAATTTAGGTAATTAAAATTTTCAAACCTTTGGTTCTTAATTATGACATGACATGTGGCTACAATTTAAATAGGTACTTGGAATAGAAATGATAAATAATGGAGAGGCACCCTATCCCGTAAAGACTAAAGTAATGTATCTTGATTGGCTTAGACTTATGATTGTAAAAATTATGCTAAAATTTACGTGTTGAGCTTGAAAAAATAGTAAAATTAAAGACTTAAAGTTAATTAAGATTTTATATTGTATTTATAAATAATATACAAATAATTATAAATTTAAATGTATAATTCTTGATTCGATTAGATCATTTATTTTGTTTTATTTTATAAAATCAAAATCAAATCTAATAGTATCGATTTTCAAAATTAAAACTAAACAAAAACAAATATTAATAGCAGTTCAATTTAATTAATTTATTTATGAATGGCCCTAGCTCTCATCATTACATTCTTCAATTTGTAATGTATCTTTTCTTTATTTCTTATAAAATAAAAAATTGAGTGTAAAAATGTAACAAGATAAATATGTGACAATTATTATTTATACTATATAGTGGGTTGAATGATTTCTTTGTTATAAAGCAAGGGGAAAAGCCATTGTTTGCGTTATTTAGGATGCTCTCACAATAAACTCTAATCATAACTATACATACAAATCTTGCATATTAATTCATTTATTTACTGTCTTCAAAAGCAAGAAATATAATTATTTCGTATTAAATATAACACCTCCCTCTCTCTTTTCATGATATCTACAAGTATATCTAATTTCTTCATTGATAATTAAAGTAAGTTGTATGCTTTTTTGGTTTACTCTTAATATGAAAATATTCTAAAATGAATATTCATTCAATTCGATTTATTAGATAAAGGTTGGATAATCGACTTATTAAAAATAAATAAGTATCATCCACCAAAATAATAGAAAAGTTAGATGGATAATGTCAATATATTTCATATTATTATCAATGTCCAATATAGTGCCTAACTTTGAATTTTTCGAAATTTTTATGTGGACATTAAATATCGAGTGAAAATAAAAAAAAAATTACCTATGTCCATATGTTTGCTTACTATTTCTCGTGATGAGATTCTAGTTTCTAATTTTATTATAATATTGATTGTGGTGCATTTGTGATATTGTTATATTCCTGATTAAATGTTGAGTTCGAGTCCATATATATAGAGAAAATTTTGTTGAGAGTATTACTCTCGTAATAAACCTTGTAATTTATTGTTCGTATCTAACGAGAACTCCTATACAAACACCAAATATTAAGTGAAAATACTCAAAAATGAGAAAAGAAGAGATTCCGCTCTTTTTTTGTTTTGGTAAAATTCTTTTTTTGTTATCTATTTTAAATTTATCGTTTCACCTGACTATTTTTAGAGAGATGTTAGTATGAAAATTCATATTATTCATCGGTTAGCTCATTTTCTAAGTTTTAAATATTGAATATTTTATTTTGTTTTTATTTATCCCATTTTCTGATCCATTCTTATTCAATTTGACCATCGATTTGGCACCTCTAATTAAAAAAAAACAGTTGTCTTGCATCTTGAAAGTTGGACTGACTGATTTTGAAAAGATTTTATAAAAGACGTGAAAGTTGGGGCTCAATGAGTCTTTGGAGAATAAAATTACTCATCTATTCTGTATTAACTCAATTTTTGAGATTTTTTGATTTAAAATAATTATACTATTATTTTAATTTTTAGATGGATATTTAGATTTTTTTTTATAATTGTCCTTTAATGAAATTTAATATTTTTAGAAGATGAATTGTATAGTTTACAAAGTCACATTTATGACGCCAAAAACGGTTATAGTGAAATTTATAGTTCAAATTACGTCCTTGAATTTTCCTTAACAAGCGTACATTATTTGATGTATTCGGTTAATATAAAATAGATTGAGTAATAAATTGAGACCAAATAACGATGAAACAAAGACAATCTTATTTGTATTTACTAGATCTATCTTATTTAAGAAAGGAAGAAAATTATTAAAATTTATATAAAATAACTAATAAATATTTATGTGATTAGAAATTATTTTATAAAAAATAAAATAAATATTTTAAAATTGCAAGATTATTTGATATAAAAATGTATTATTTTAAAAAATTAACTAAAAGAAAAGTAAATAATAAAAATTGAGAGAAAAGATTATTTCTTTCCTCTCCTTAGGAACGCACACCTTTTTTGGTCTTGACTGTGCAATGCATATCATTCTAACAACTTCCCTTGAAAAAGAGATCTCGAATATCCCGTAAATTCTTGAGATATTTATAAAGAGATCAAGATATATCATATTCTTATTGATAGTAAAATACTTCAAGAACATCTATAAGTTTTTTCATTAAAATTGAAATCATCATAGTTTGAAATACGTCATTAGTGATTAAGTGTGTGCAAAAATTGAATCACCTGATAAACCGACGCAAAAATAATGTTATTGGTATATAAAAAAATTTATCAGGTCATCGATTCGGTATTAATTTTTAATAATGAGTTATTAGGTAAATCGATAATCATTAAGCCTTGTAATTTACTACTTTTATTTGTATGCACGCGCGCGCGCGCACATATATATATATATATATATATTAATCTCATACTTTACTAGTTACTGTCTTTGTCCTTTAGCCTTCAATTTATACTTTGCAGTTACTCTGACTTTACAATTTCGCATTACATAAAACGTCAAAAATTAAAGTAAGAAACATGTGTCGCTTAATTTTTATTTGTATTGCACTTGTATAGTTCTTTTCATGTTTGTTAATATTGTTACATTTTTATGAGCATATTATTGTGTTGTTGCTTCAAATTTATTAGAGAAGTCATATATTTAATTTATAAATTTTTTTCTTATTGGTTAAAAATCGAAAATCGAGCCATTAAGAATTAAAATTATAAAAAAAAGCCTAATAAAAATATTTTATTGATTTGATGTATTTAAAAATAAAAAATAGAATCAAATTGATCGATACACATCCAATAATATAAAAAAAGTTATTGAAAAAAAGAAGTAAAGAATAAATAGATTGTATTTGTAATTTATATCAATAAAATTATGTTTTTTTTTTTGCTAAAAATAATTAAAGGGCAAATTGAGCTATTAATTTTTTAAAAAAAAAATACCGTTAGATCTATGCTTAAAAAAGCGTGCTTAATTTGTCATGATTTTATCGGACATAAAAAGGGGAAACAATTCGGTGTAAAGCATAATAAAATAGTATAGTCTATAAAATAGGCACTAGAGATTAATTAATTAAATCAGTTTAATAATGACTCGGGCCCTTCCATAATTTTCGGAAAAAGCATTGTAAATCGTAACAATGAGATTATTACCAGCTTTAAAAAACACTTAAGCAGAGGAACTAAATATTAATTAGCCACTTACTAAACATGATACTAAAGAAAAAAAATATTTTCTAAATATTTTATATATGAAGATAAAAATCAATTTTTTTTGAATAACTTATAAAAATAAATTCTACCTGTAGGATAATCTTAATTACAAAAAAGGATTTGTTTATTTTTCACAAAAAAGTTAATTTACTTTTGATGAAAAAAAACATTGATATCAATTATATTATACAAAATGGATCATAGATAGCACAATCAAAACTAGCTTCTACAGATGGTTCGAATAACAAGTTGAAAATTGATTATTTTAATTTTGTCATTGTTATCGTTAGCTTTATTTTTCAAAAATGTTTATCGTATTTCATTTTAAGAATTAATTATAAAAAGTGGGATCAATATATTGGATTTTTCTATTCATATTAAAAGTATTGCAATTTATATTAGGGAAATATCATTAAACTCTCAGGGAAGGTTTATTTATACCATCAGTTAAAAGTTTGACTCATTTATGTTATTATCGTTAAAGAAAAGATTCATTCATGCCATTATTTTTTAACGGTAGTTTTGTAAAATCATTTTTGACACATGACCAATTATAATTCGAGCACGTCATCAAAATTTCTAATTAAAAAAATAAAAAAAATTAATTCAATTTTTTTAAGAATTATGTTTTTTTTAATTGAAAAAAATTGATGACGTGACCGAATTATAATTGACCACGTGTCAAAAATAGTTTTGCAAAAACCATTGTTAAAAAATAACGATATGAATGAGCCTTTTCTTTAACAACAATGACATAAACGAGCTAGACTTTTAATGGATGACGTAAATGAGCCTTTTGTAAAAATTCGATGGGTGTTTGAGTCTTTGCCCTTTATAATATTCGTAAATTGCAAATGAATGGTCTATCTGTAATATTCATAACGATTTAAAATTGCTTACAAAGAGATAAATCATATCTCCATAATTATATGGTATATGTGCATTCGTAGATGTTTTCAGACTAATATTGAAGTATTTGAACTTATGATAAACAAATAATAAGAAGAAAATACGGAAAAATCACTCTAGAATTTAACTTATTTTTTTGTTTTATCTTTTCAAATTATAAGAGCTTTAAAAATATCGCTCTATTCGATTAACAAAATTTAGATATATTTCAATTTTGCAATAAGTTATAATATGTTGTTTTAAATTTCGGTAAAAATATGAGACTCTTAATAAAAATTTAAATAAAGCTTTTAAAAATATTTTTAAATTTGACAAAAATTTGAGAGTATATTTCCGTTTTGTTAGGAGATTAGAGATATTTAAATTCAATTAATTAAATAAAAAAGTATTTTAAAGCTATGAAAGCAAAACTATTAATTGGCATAGAAATTTATGGATATTTTCAATGAATCTCACAAATAAATAAATATAATTTATTTCTCTCTCTCTTTTTAAAAATGATGTTTGATGCATAAACAATAAATGTTATCTAAAAATTCGATAACAAACTCTTTTTTAATTTTAGAACTTTAATAAACTTCACTACGTTTCTCGGTTAAACTTATATTTCTCTATTTCATTAAAATGTAAGTATTAAACACAAGTAATAATCTTTATAGGCACTACCTCAGTCAAATTTGTAATGTTGAAACCAAAAGAAAATTGAGAAAGTGAAAGAATTTATCGGTTAAAAAATAATAGTATTTGTTTTGTTGCATTTCATATTATTCCCTTTTTTTTAATTTTTATCAATCAATTTTTTTTTATAAAAAAAATTAAAGTGTAGTCGAACTAATTTATATAAAAACAGAGAGTACCGCTTTAGCTCTGATAAGTCACAGAGTGCAGCCTCACAGAGTCAGAGTAATGATGGAACAACTCACTAAAAAGCTGAGCCAACATCTTTTTTCTGTGGTTTTAAAATACCCTCCAAACACATTTTCTGGAAGAAAAAAAAATCACATTTCCCTCTCTTCTTCTTTCCCCCCCAAATTTCATCTCAGAAAAAAAAGCAAACAATGGCTAACTATAGAATGGATTCGGAAGAAGAAGCATTGTTTAGAAATTCTCCATATCCACTTTATTTCGTTCAAAGTCCTTCAACTCTATCCCATGCAAATAGCGGAGAATTATGTCGTCACAACAACAACATCAATAATACTACTAATGCTAATGAGTACTCCTCTGGATGTCATTCGCCAATGCCTAGACCGGAGACCGGTCCGTTATCGCTCTCTCGATACTCATCGTCCCGTGGATCTAACCACTCCTTCTCGCATCACGAGAAGAAGATTTCATGTGATTCTCTGCAGAGCCACGGGACGGGGATCGATGAGAACATCGAGATTTGTCCAGAGAAACGTTGTGGTGCAGTTTTGTTGGTTCATCAAGGAGGGAAAAATGGGCGTATTCGTGTTAACGAGGAAGAGGATGAGGATGACGATGGTGAAGATTATTATTACGGAAAAGGAAATTGGATGAGGTTTTTTTCGTTGGGATATTCGGATTCAACAGCGTGGATTGTTGTACAAGTAACATGGAGGCTTATTGTGAGTATGATAGTAGCTTTGGTTGTTTTCTACATTGCTACAAAACCCCCTTCACCTAAGGTTTCTCTTGAGGTAACACTCTTATTACCTTCTTCCTTTTTAAATTTTTATTATTCGATTCCCGGTGAGGGCGTTTATCTGAATCTTCTCATTTTCAATTTCAAATGGCATTTTACTGAAAATTCTTAATGCGCAGCTGTTTTTATTATTACTATTCTTACTGCCATTATCTTTTGGTATTTTTTTAAAAAAAAAGTGAAAAAAACATTAGATTTCTTCATTTATTGTAAAGGCATTGAAAATACCTAAGGTCAAAATGAAGGCCCATTTTATAAAGATTTAAGTTCGAAAAGACATGTAGGCCCAAAACTCATGTTAGGCTCTCTTTTATGGAAGCCCAATATGAGGTGCACTAGGCCGGATCTTACACAAATCTCTAGCATTTAAAAGCTAATCCCTTTATATTTCTACTTTATTCTAATTATAAAATTTGAGGAATCCGAATACATTTCAAAACGTGCTTTTCTAATACATCTCTTAACCTTTCGATATATTACATCTTTATTTCGATACATCAGTTAATGTTATGATATATTTGATGATATATTCAGCTAAATAATATATTCGACAATTAGACAATTTTTGTTTTTCTTTTCGGCAGAAAATTTTTAAAAATATTTAAAAGAACATGATGAAATAAACATTTCCAGATTCTTACCAAGTCACTCTATACATACGTCCAAAATAACTCAATAACAATAATATAACTTAAATTACTGCCCTTTTATAAATTATAATTCATGTATTCATGATATAACGGATATGTATATAGTATATACGGAGTATATATCAACAACTATACAAACAATTATAGCTAGTGAGCTAAATCTCTTTTACCCGCTTGACTAAAAAGATTACCCAGACATCTAACATTCTATTAATGATTTAAAGTTAAAATTTAGTTTGAAGTCATATTTGTTTTTATATATTTGAAAAATTTATAATTTTCGAAAATTATACTTGTGATCAAATGTTATTGTAAACTTTTCAAACACATATTTTTATAAAAGATCTCGTGGTCCTATAGATCAGTAATAGTCGTGATTTTTTTTTGAAGATATAAATCCCTCAGATAATATTATAATCTTTCTTGGTCACACTTTTTTTATAAATAACTTCAAAGAATAAATCTTTTTTCAACCTTGCAATATATTAACTTTATTTTATGTGTCAATCCTTACATCGCAGATAACTTGTGGAGTGAGAGCTAATTCTTTTAGGTGATTAAGAAATTTCAATCTGAATTTAACTTGAAGTTAAAGTTCAATTTTATTAAGGACCTATTTTGTCATGCAATATGATATCATGATATGATATCATGAAATTATGAGATATATTTGAAGTTTTATTTGGATATGTGATATGAAATTTTGATGTCGTATATTTTCTCATATATATATATAAAATTTCATAAGTTGTAAAACTATTATATTATCTTCAATGGTTTATCCAATCTTTTATCAAAATAACCAAAAATTTACAAAATCACATAATATATTATTACATTGCTATTTGTTCTCCACTCAAGTAATTGTTTCAATCTAACTTTAATTCATGAAACTTTAAATTTAATAAAAAAAATTGAACATAAATTGTAGTGTATTAGTCTTTCATATTACTCGACAATCGGTTGGTGTGAGTTAAAATGACTATATGTTAGTGAGAATAATGAATTTTTATATCAGTGAAAATAATAAATTTTAAAAAGTAATGGTATCACTATAAATTTTATTTACATGGAGTAAATGGTTAGTAAATATAAATGTTTATGTGAGGTTGTTTTAACAAAATATAAACTTATGGATCAATTTTTATATTAAAAATACGTCAAATCATGTTACAATATTCTCGTATGAAATCACATCTCCTGATATGAATTCGCATACTAAATATCATAAAGACAATAATTTCTAATTTTAAATTTGGATTTCAGGCTCATTTGCCACTCATCATTATTTCAATTATCCCTTTTTAACTTTTTGGCAATGGCATCAAACATTATAATGCTAGAATACTTATCATGTTGCCACATAATGATTGATGAAGGGAAGCATTACACTTTTAGTACATATTTAAATCTGAAATTGATCATGATCATTGAAACTATCTTTGTATTGTAATTGCATACGATAATTATTTAAATGTGCCAAATTATATATTGTAGATTTCAGGTGTTCGTGAATTTGGATTGAGAGAAGGAGTTGATGGAACTGGTGTAAACACAAAAATGTTAACATGCAATAGTTCAATGATCTTACAAATTGATAACAAGTCTAAGCTCTTTGGGCTTTACATTAATCCCCCCACCATGGAAATGTACTTTGGAAGGGTCCCTTTTATAAAAGCACAAGTAAGTTCCTTTTTTTTCTCGTTGAATTACATTGAATATGTTGTTTTTGTTATTATTTTGTTGTGCTTTCTCAATACTTGAAATTATTATTATGTGGTCTTAGGCACTCTTTCGCAACTTCGATAGTATTCGGAAAAAATTGAACCTAGTGAAATGAATTGGATTAATATAATGAATTGAGAGAGATTCACAGTGTAATCTCAAATACAATATATGCTTGTTTTATCTCTGTGTTTTTAATTCTCTAGACAGTTGAGTTGTTCCAAAGAAAAAAAAATTATTTATGTCATATTAAATTCGAACTAATATAGTACATTTGAAATAATGAGTTAGTCCTTATTTTTTTATTTTGTCAACCTAACGTGTCATGATTTGGGCCTCATTAAAGAGACCAGGTTGTACAATATATCTTTGATGGTTGATTTAGTCTATCACTCATCTTACAGTAGCAACCAGTGGTTGATCTATAGTCTGTAATCTGATTATAAAAATTAACGTGATTTTAATAACTTTTGCTCCTATCATGTTCATATGTATTTAAAAACTCAACAAACTTGCAAAAATATTTGGTTAATTATAGAATATAAACTCAAAGTTGTTGTATAAATATATAAATTTCAAATCGTAGATCTACCTGTATATACAACGCCAAGCAATTAAATTAGTATTTCTTTTTGTAATGCATAATCTAAACATCAAGGGAAGAGGGTGGGGAAAAAAATAGACAAATAACCAATTTTTGAACCACCCTTTAAGTCAAGTCATCATATCCTTAATATGTAAAATTTACAAGTTTACCCAACTTAGAATATTGTTGAAGTTCATCTATTTTTCATGATGTTGTCATTATTTTTATTGGAATTTCAACCATACGTAACTTCTGACATTGCATATATCGTTGTGAAGTAAATAAACATGCAAAAACTTTAGATAAATACATATTAAATAGCGATATCCAGATAGAATACCCCGCGAACTTAACAGTTGTCATGTTTGTTAGGGAGAAGAGCTTTATGCAGGGAGCTATGGGCCAACATACTTCAAGTTAACTATAGGGACAAAGGACAAGGCATTGTATGGGGCAGGTAGACTTATGCAAGATATGCTTCAATCTTCTAAAGGATTGCCTTTGCTTATACGTGTGCATCTATCTTCAACTTTTCATGTTGTTTGGGGTCTTATCAAACCCAAATTTCATCACCAAATTGAGTGCCTTGTTCTTCTTCATAATACTTATAATAAAAAACATAGGACCCAAAAGTATAATAGCACTTGTTTGTTGATCCCTTCTTAAAAACATCATCACTTTTTTAATTGCAAAATAGGTTGTTGAAAAAAGAAGAAGAAATGAGATCTATATTGGTTGTTATTAGGAAGGATCCATTAGTATATAAAATTAATGATATGTAATTTTGATCGGTTGAATATTTGAATCCATGACTTTCAGCTGCTCTGACAACATGAATCGTAAGCCTTTAATGGGTTGAAATTTATTTTTCTCAGAAATCACTTTGTGTTGAATATTTTATTTTTGTTTGTAGCATTATCAAATCTATTTCGGATTCAAAGTTTTTGAGAGACAGTAACTGGTAAATGGGGATGAAATTGAAAAAAAGTAAAATAAAAATTGTTAAATTAGTCTTTCATATGCAGGTATTGAGTATATTACATTAATTATGTTATATTGTAAAAAGGTATTAAAATGACATAGAAACGTAACATAAGGTATTTACGACGAAAGAAGATAATTAAATATATCTAATTGATAATAAATGCCAACTTTAGAAGATCGACGATGGATTTTTTTTTAAAAAAAAACACTACAAAAGATAAGATAGTTTTGATGGTGACAATTATTAGTGGGAAAAGACATCATACCATGAAATAATGACTGATTTATAAATAGATTAATTATACATGTCATGGAGCTGACTGGTTTCTATATATAAAAAATAATTATAAAGGTAATAATCTATCATTAGGAACAAAATGATATATATCTAAGGCACCTCAACACGTGTGGGTGGATTATTGGCCAAGTCCATAATGGCTTACAAGTGATTGGTTGAAATTTTATCAGAATGCAAGAAGTTATTGGTAATTAGTTAATAATTTAAAAGGAATCACATCATTAATACTCAAAACTTTTTCTTTTCTTTAGATTGAAAGCTTAGTTAGATAATTCTTTTTTCTATATTTGTATTTTTCTTTCTCATAAAAAGAATCGATTTTTTTTTTACGTAAAAATCTATCTTTACACGTTAATCTTGATTCTCAAGATAATATTGAAATATGGATCCTTAAGTGTTAAGACCAACCATTGTGAAGCTTCTCTATAAAACTAGGGAGCTTGCCTTCTCTTATTGAAGACATTCTATTAATTAGATATAAGAAGTTTATTCGATCTAATAAGTGTATTGTGTTCTCCTATAACTCGAATCTTTAACATTTTCTTATTTATTATGCGTGTTTATTATTTAACCGAAATATCCTCACCCATTCTTACTAAGAAATTGAAAGAAGTCTCAAAATCCTTTTCGGCTATCAATCTAGAATTTTTCTTCCCTTGAAAAAAAATTAAAATAGAATGGTTGATCGATGTGAGGTCATACTGATTAAGCTCAAATTGATCCAACTTTCTGGATTAATCATGGAACCTAACATCCATAATCCATTTAGCTTGAAATAAATGCTTTGTCCTATGAATTAATCCACTCAATATGTTGGACGAGTTACATATTTACGGGTAGAAATTAACATATATAATATATAAAATTAAATTTAAAATTTGTCATTTATAAATTTTCATAATTGTTTAAAGTCATAGAAAAGTATTGAAAACACCCTTAAATTGATGTGAATTAGTAGTTTCATTCATGAGCTATCGACAATCTTTAAAACACATTTAATTGACTAACTGAACTTATATACACGTTTAATTTTGCAATGAGTAAAATACACCCCTAATTCTTGTCAATTTTAAAAGTTCTTTCAACATTTTCTCGATTTTTTCTTATTAAGAGTCGCATGCTCCTATAAAAATTTGAAAGCACTGATTTGTGATTTAACTAATAATTGCTTTAAGTTTAATTGCATTTTTAATAATTATATCTTAAAGCTAATATATTCTAATAGCTTGGTTCACAGTCAAATATTTATATATATTTTAATAAATATATAAAATTTAAGCAAAAAATGGATTCTACAAACCTGATCCGATCCCCACTTTATAATTAGGCAGTATGTGTCTTTTGCACTCAATAATTTAATTAATTGTCAATATTATAATTTATATGTACTTCCGTGACACGACTAATTAGCTTTACACTATATATTATTTAATAATTCTTGCTTGTGTATGGCACACGCACAAAGCCTAATTTATTTCATATGCTATGATCTTACGTGGACAACTTTTTGAGTTTATAAAAAAAAAAAATCTAAGATGGAGAAAGATAGTGTCAACCAACTGTATTGCTTTTCAAATTAATTTTTTGGAAGATTAAACAAATAACACAAATATGGATTTCAAACTTTTTGTGAGTAAATTCTCACATTAATCGGAAATGAACGGATGATCTGCTCGTATGAATTTAGACAGTTCTTTTTTCGTAATTTAATTTTTTGAGTTAAGTTAGGTCCAGATGTTATACTTTTACATAGTATTAAAGCCAAGTCCATTTCCATTTGGGTTCCTAGTCCATAAATTCCATTTCTCATAAATATAAACTTGTGCAATCCCCCTTCATGATGAGATCGATTAATATTGTGAAAATAAAAATTGGAAATGAAAAAAGAATACGTTAAGTACGTACTCCATTAACTCCACTAGACTAAGAACAAGTGATTAATTAAGAATTTAATAACAAGGATTAAGTCGTTTATAATTGGTGGATACATGCAAAAGTTAAATGTGACATGATATTTTGATCATATAAGGTGCTAAAACATACAATAATATATAGACAAGATTATAATGTTTTGGCGGAGATCGTTAGTGGGAATTAAAAGGCATGCAATATAAATTATACATATTTAATATATGGTGGTGCCATACGTGGTGATTGATAACCATATATTAATTAATTGATGATATTAAAAAGATTTAATCTTTAATTATAGAATTTATGTCTCCATAAAAGCATCTATAATATACATATTTGTTGTGCATGATTATGATTATTGGTCACGTTAAAAGAATTCTTTTTTAAACTCAAGATAATCTGCGGTCGTTGTAATTTCTGTTACGATTTTCTGTCAATCTAAATAAACACTCTATAATAAGCATTTTTTACATACCGCTTAAATCCCTTCTCTAATTTAAATACTAAAATGGCCACATTATATGTACTTTTATAAAGCAATTTAGTAGCTTTGCTTTATACACAATTTTTGTGTTGTATCCTTATTCAAGCTCGTGTATGGCACACGCACAAAGACTTTTTTTTTACCAGAAAATATGATCTGTTTTATTTTTTTTAACATATGCTATTTTAATTTTTAAATCTTATATGGACAAAAATTAAGATAGTGTCAGCCAACTGTACTATTTTGTTACATATTTACTTTTGGAAATATGTATATTATTATACTTAACACCATTATGCAGTCTGATCCCAAACTTTTTGTTAGTAGTTGAAATGGTTGCGTTATATGCCACGACAAAGATAAAGTGGATCGGTTGTGTTTACTGTGAATTGAGTTTTAAATAAATTTAAATATTACTTTTAATTTTTTCTAAAAAGAGTTAAATGATATATAGAGTTGTCTTATTATTTATTAAATAGAAGTATAAAAATTACTATTCACGAGTTGTTGGTAGTTTACAGTGAAGACTAATGATGAAGGTACAGGAGGCTAAGTTAGCGTTTGGCCATAGATATTTAAATATTTTTGATAAATATTATTTGAGTGAAAATTTAGGTGAAATTTCATCATGTATTTGACCATAGTATTTGGAAAATATATTTCAGTTTTCTAGAAAAAGATGATTTATACCCTAAGTTTTAAAAAATATCAAAACTAACTATAAATTTGTATTATAAGTCATTTGGATCTTTGTTACAATAATAACAAATAGTTATCAATGACACTAGAGCAATGTGGTAATCTAGAGTGAGTCCGACGAGCATCGTTTCATACATCGTGAAGTAGACAAATTAAAATACATAACTTTGTTATCTTGAGCCGATTGTTCATCATTTTTTTCGATAACCATATTATCATTTAACAGTCACCGAATATTTCATCACTACTTTGGAATTAATTAAAAAATTATGTAATACAACGTAAGCAACAACTATAAAGGATTTTTTTTTATAAAAGATAAAAGTTTGCGGTAAACTTTCAATTTTTAAAAGATTCCAAATAATGAAATTTGACCCAAATATTAAAAAAAACTAGTATTTAGGAATTTGAGATATTTGCTAAAAATATTTGTCAAATAATAACAAAATGTATGAACAAACACTATTTGTTAAATTTTCTCCCAAATATTATTTAAAAAATCTATAGCCAAACAGGATGAAGGTCATTGGTGGTGGTAATTGCTAGTGCAAAAGCTAATTAAATAATGACTACCAATAATCTTAGAGTAATAACTCAAAAATCATAATGGAGGAGCTGGTTGGTGGTGATGATTGATATGACTTTTACCTAAGCCATAAAGGAGAATCAAGAATGTGCCAAATTAATTTGTTCATAAAATATCCCATATATTTTGTTTTCTCAAAAAGGATGAAAGTGCCATGTGAAAACTACTACAATGATGATGGTATATTTTTTTTTAACCTAATGGTTGGGCATTATAATGTTAGATAATGCAAAGATAAGTTAGTGTTATTATATGAATGGCAACGAATGGACGTGAATGGCTAAGTGCATCTTTTGTTAATTATCAACTTATGGAAAGATGACATTTATAGATTGACATGTTTCATATATTATATTAGTAGTAATAATCTATGCCATTTCATGCAATAATCACACTATGTTATCAAATGTTGACATTTCATATTCTCCTTTCGATATAATTATCAATTTAAATACTTAACATATTATTTGAATTCACTATTTTATGAAGTGTATAATCGAAGATATACGACTCCTTTTGAATTTGAAATTTTTTTGATAAGATGAGCAGACAAAAAAAAAACAATGTGATTGTAGTATTTTTACATTTAACTTTCAATAAACAGAAATAAAGTCAATATAATCCGTCAAAGTCATCTAAACTATAAAGGTTCTAATTTTTTTTTGGCTAGTATATACATTTGATTGTGAAACTAAATATACCTCAGTAATCAATTTCACCTTTTGTATACTCAATTCGATGTTAGATATATATTGATATTAAATACGTATAAAAGCGGAATTTGAGTTTACCTCATCATACAATAATAAAAAAAATAATTCACAAATATGACTTGATGTAAATATGATTTGGAAGTGTTTTTAATATGATGTCATGCTAGTATATTTATTCGTTCACTTT